ACGGTGCCTACTGTTCGCTTGACTTAATTATCTATCTCCTCAATCTATCTATTTCTGCAATCTATCTGCCTATCTCGCTGGTTTTCTTTGCCAGGCTTATATACTCAAAAAGAGGGCATCTAGCAAACACTCGGACATTCGCGGGGTTCCCCGATAACTCTAGAACCTCCAGCACGCATGCTCCCAGCGTCACGCGACTTCCGCTGTTGTAACAGTATTCTATGTCATTTAACTTTCTATTATTACTTTAAAAAAATTTTTAATAATAAAAAGACAATTTAAGCTTCAATATTAATTGTGATTACCTAAACCATTACAAAACAACAAATATATGTCAGTGCCAAGCCCAAGTCAGCAAAGCATATCTGGTATGAATTATAACATTAGAAAATGGACTATTAGAAGAGGTTAATTAGCAAGTTTGTGAATAATTAAAGCACATCTGTAGAAGCAGTGTTACATGTTATTCAAGTAAAATAATACATTTATACATACAGGTTGATTCAATCACATTTTTTGCATTATAATTATAATGAAATACATAATAAAAAATCTGCATTAGTACTTAGTAATTTCAGCCAAGCCCATAACTGCTAAAATGACTAAATCTTGAAGAGTTGTTAGCTAATCTGCACTAATGCTTATATTGTTTAGCAATTTTGGTCAAGCACAAAACTATTAAACTGATTTAACTTTGGAGAATTATTACATTTTCAAATGATAAATATAGTTTATAGAACAAATACCAAACTGATAAATTAAATAATATTTATAAATACTAAACTGTTGTTGTTCCTTTTAAATATGGCTAAGAAATTTGTATAGTAATACACAAATAAAGTTGAATAAAAGGGATAGATTAAAAATGTAAGAGATAATAAGGAATGAGAATGATCAAAATAACAACAAAATTTATAGAAATGACAAATATGACAATTAGGTTAATTAAAAGAAAACTAATGTAGTAAGACAAATAACACAATGTTCTGCTATATAGGAAACTGTTATACACCTTGTATTAACTAGAGTGAGAGGTTAAAGAAATGGGATATAAAGTTGATGGTAGTTAAAACACTAAAGTTGTTCATTATTGACTTAAAAATTAGTTAAAAAATTAAGATGAGAACACAAGAGTTTTGAATGGGTCATCACATCCCACAATCAGTGGCAGGAGGATTGTTGCATTTGATGAAACACTGAATAAGTTTGCTATTCCAAACATAGTAGGAGAGACTTTGCTTGTGAAAAATGAGTTTGTGAGCTCTATACATAAAGTCTTCTTTAAAGTGGTGGGCAAATTAGCATAATTTACTTTGAATATTTAGATCTGAAAATGGAAAGTTTATAACTCCAAACAATATATCTGACCATGAGGATTTATGGGAATTATTGCAATTGTCCTAAATTATGTAGATATTAATCCCTTGGTGGCAAGTAGAAAGATGAAAAAATTAAACACAGATAATGTGTCAGGGCCAGATAATGTTTCTCCAGGGTTTTAAAAGAGGACAATGATCAGATGTGTAAACCTCTCTGTGCAATGCATCCTTTTTTCTAAAATAAGAATAATCAAGATGCTATAGCTAGGATTCTGGAAAACAAGACAAAGAATTTATTTGAGCTTTGACAAGTAAATCAGAATATACTTACAATTTGAAAATGACGGGCCCAATCTTTTACAAACACACATCTAAACTTCAAAAAATTGAAATATAATTTTATAATCTTGACATGGCTTCAAAGCTTCTAATTACAATATAATCTTGACAAAACTTCAAAAATATAACTGTTAACAAGAAGTTACAAAATGTCTAACTTGGGAAATTAATCGTAACATATGTTCAATAACACAATACTTACAAATTATCCAACTAATTATAACTCACAATAATTCTAACCCAGTTTCAAGCAATATCTAATCTCTTTTCTATGTTCTCAAACATCTGTCATATCAGTCTTCAGTTCTCTTTTTTTATATACTTTTGTTTCTTACCATATGACAAAATTGCAATTCTACACAGGAAGATTAATGGCTAATGACAAAATGTCTTATCAACTTATTTACACAGAATGACACTTTTAAACATGGTTACTTACAATAGTCATTGTGACAAAAACCTCAGTGTCACTGCCACAACCCCAGTGTCAGTCATTTTGTGCCACTGCAAATAGTATTACTCTATTAACTTTAATAGGGCATGAGCTGGCATTATGCATAAATAAATTAAGAGAAAAATCAACTAAATATATGTAAATATGAATATAATAATTAAAAAAAAATTAAGAATACCACCTTAAATCACTTTCATTTTTGACAATTCAAAAGACAGCAGGCAGGCACCTGATGACTGGAGAGTTGCTAATGTTATTTTAAAAGGAGGGGTGATAAGAGTTATGCTGGAAATTATGGGTCTTACTTCTGTAGGGCTAAAAAATTTTAGTCTGATAAAAGCTTTGACTAATCATTTAGTGAAATATGGTATAAATGAAAACCAACACAGATTTACTAAAGGGAAATCTTATCTAAATGTTTTTTTTCTGAGAATGTTAGTCATTATCTGGATGAGGGAAAGGATGCACATATATTTTCAAAAGGTTTTTTGTAAGGTGACACGCAGAAGATTAACTTAGAAAATCAAATCAATAGGAGTAAGGGAAAGATAAGTTAATTGGATTGTAGGATGGTTGGATGGATGAAAGCAAAAGGTTGTTATTAATGGAGTCTAGTCAAACTGAACCTTTGTTAATAGTGCTTCAAGAGTCAGTGCTTAAGCATTTGCTTTTTGTAGGAATCAATGAGGAATTGCCCCTCTTTAACAGGACTATGCAACCCATGGAACCTCCTTCATGATAGGAATAGAGGCTTGTAATTTTTGCCATTGTTTTGTGATGCTACTTGGCCAATTTCAAACTCTGTATCTAAGAAACAATATTGATACATTGGAAAGGGGTTTGGAGGAGAGCTATAAAAATTGTTTCAGAAATGAAAGAGTTATCTCTTAACTTGTTTTCTTTTGAGAAAAGAAGGGTAAGAGATGATCTTATTCAAGTTTACAAGATTATCTAGGGGATCAATTAGATAAAAGCCTTCAATTTCTTTGAACGGAATAAACAGGAGCAAAAGAATATGTTTATGCTGTCCAGGAGTAGGGGTACAGGATATAACTGACAGAACCAGAGATATAGTTAAGGGTGCTAGCAGCAATGAAGTTTTCGTGGTACATGTTGGAGCTAATGATGTAAGGAAAGATGGATCTGAGGAGCTTATTGATAAGTATAAAACATTGATAACGGCATTAAGGAAAGATGTCATAACTTGATTTTGTCAGGGATATTGCCAAGAATAAATTGTGGGGATGATATACTAAATAGGTCACTAGGACTGAATGCCAGGCTTAGATCAATATGTAGGGATGAGCAAATAGGCTGGTTGGATTTGTGGAATAATTTTAATGGGAAAGTTATTTTTTTTAGAATGGATGGCTTACACTTAAATAAAGCAGGGGCTAGCATGTTAGCAAGGACTATTAACTCAGTTGTAGATTTAAA